CGAGTCTTGTGGCAGTCTGTCTCTATATGCTTGGTCCTCTCGTGGAACACGGGGTTAGTAGCAATATGGATGGCTACTTGATTGTCACAATGGAAAGTGATTGGCGTCTTTTGCTCGATCCCAAAGTCCTTTAGTAGAGCCTTTAGCCATGTTAACTCATTAGTGAGTTTCTTCATAGCCCTATACTCCGCTTCAGCACTCGAACAAGACACCACCTTCTGTTTCTTTGTCTTCCAAGTCACGAGATTCCCACCAATGAATGTGCAAAAGCCGGTTGTTGATTATCTTGTATTGCGATCTCCATTATAATCCGCATCACAATATCCAACAATCTCCGTGCTTGAGTTTCTTCTCATCCAAATGCCTTTACCGGGACTCCCTTTGATATATCTCAGAATCCTCTCCACCAAACTCCAATGGTACACCGTAGGGGCTTGCATATGCTGAGCCACCTGATTCACGGCAAAAGAGAGATCAGGCCGAGTATATGTCAAATATATGAGCTTACCTACAAGTCTTCTATACTGTTCCGGGCAATGATATGGAGTATCATCCTTCTCCCCCTTTTGATTGACCTTGTATCCTTGCTCTAGTGGTGTATCCACTGGTTTAGCTCCAAGTTTCCCTGTAAGCTTTAGGAGATCGAGGGCGTATTTCCTTTGTGAGAGAAACAGTCCCTCCTTGGATCTACACACCTCAATCCCTAAGAAATACTTCAACACACCCAAATCTTTAATATCAAAGGCTGAGTGTAAGGAAGACTTAATAGCTTGGATCCCTTCTTTGTTACTTCCCGAGATAATCAAGTCATCCACATAGACCAATACCACTACTATGCCTTGATTATCTTGCTTAGTAAACAAAGTATGATCCGAATGTGACTTCTTGAAGTCATTAGCCAATAGAGTGGAGCTTAGCTTGTGATACCAAGCTCTTGGAGACTGTTTGAGACCATAGATTGCTTTCCGAAGCCTTAAGACCTTTCCCGGAGCTACTATGTCTTCTAAACCCGGAGGAGGTGACATGTAGACTTCTTCTTCCAACTCCCCCTGAAGGAAAGCATTCTTGACATCCATTTGCCACAACTCCCAATCCAAATTAACCGCCAAAGATAGAACAACCTTCACCGTGTGTTGCTTAGCTACCGGAGCAAACGTTTCCCTATAATCATCACCATAGGTTTGTGTGAACCCTCTTGCAACCAGCCTAGCCTTATATCTTTCAATTTCACCATCACTCTTGTACTTAATGGTAAATACCCATTTTGAGCTAACACACTTCTTTCCTTTTGGTAGCTCTTCTTCATCCCATGTATGGTTCCTTATCATAGCTTGTACTTCATCATCTACCGCATTCGTCCACTCCTTTCTTTCCTTGGCTTCCTCATAGTTTTGTGGGATAAACTCCACATCTAGCTTGCTAAGAAACGCCTTATGTTCTTCGGGAAGAAGGTCAATCGAACATGTAGCTTGAATAGGATGAGCCACAGCTTGACAATTGTAGAGGCACTTCTTTGATTTCCTTTCTCTTGTACCCCTTCTTGGATTCTCCCGAGTGTAGATTGGATCTTGTGTGACTTGTGGAGCTTGATAAGTCTCATCTTCGCTTGATGATTCAATAATTTCACCTTCACTAGATGGATCTTTCTCTACCACTTCTTCACTTGATCCTTCTTCTCTACCCGAAAGTGCTTCTCTACCACTTTCTTGTTCAATATCCAACGGCTCTTGTGTTGCATTCCCACCACTTTCTTGAGCTTGAGCTTCATTGGTATCCACATTTGGTGTAGCTTCCGCATCTTCTTGGGAGGGACTAACATTACCCAAATGTTCTAGAATATGTCGGAGACTCTTAGCTCGATCTGAAGTTGAATTCGGCAAGTCTTTCACACTTTCCCAACTCTTTTCTCCAAAGTAAGCCTTGTCTTCCATGAATTTGACGTCCCTAGACACGTGATACCGATTGTTGACTGGATCAAAGCACTTGTAACCTTTCTGAGTTGTTGAGTATCCGATGAATACACACTTAGTGCTCTTGGGTTCTAGCTTGTTTCTCAAGTCACCTGGGACAAACACAAAGCAAAGACTTCCAAATACCCTTAAATGATCAATGTTAGGATTCTGTCTATTCAAAATTTGAAAAGGAGATTGATCATTAAGGATACGGGTTGGTGTCCGGTTGATGAGATAACACGCCGTCATAACCACATCTCCCCAAAACCGTTTTGGCATATGCTTCTGGAACAACATAGCTCTTGACACCTCCATTAGATGTCTATTCTTTCTCTCCGCAACTCCATTTTGTTGAGGGTTGTATGGGCAGCTTGTTTGATGTAGGATTCCACATTTCTCTAAATGTTCTTTGAACTTGGTGCTTGTATATTCACCTCCATTATCTGTTCTTAGGATTTTAATCTTGGCATCAAAGTGATTAGTCACATAATTTTGAAAGTTTAAGAATGCATCATAAACCCTATCCTTAGATGGAAGCAAAGTTATCCAAGTATACTTAGACTTCTCATCTATGAATGTGACAAAATACTTATGATTATCTCTAGATGCACAAGGTGAAGTCCAAACATCAGAATGCACAAGGTCAAAGCATTTTTCATAAATGGTATTGGATTTGGGAAAAACTACTTTGCAATGTTTACCTAAAATACATGCTTCACAGTTTGAACAGTCATATGAAAATCCAGGTAATAAAAGATTCAAAGCCCGAGAATGTGGATGGCCAAGTCTCTCATGTCACAATACAACCGATGTTTTAACAGAGTTTGCAAAGATAGAAGAGGAAACATTATTATTCAAGACAGAATTTAAAGATAAGTCTTCAAGCACATATAAGTCATCCTTGGTGCTCCCTTGACCGAACACCTTACCACTCTCAATACCCTGCAGCTTAACGTCATTAGGACTGAATATAGCTAAGCAATTTAAGTCCTTAGTCGTTTTCTTAACCGAGAGTAAATTCGAGGTAAACTTAGGCATATAGAAAGCACTAGATTTCTTGTTAAACAGATTAATGCATCCTATACCTTCTATTGGAACATTGTGACCATTTGCAACCTTAACATTTCCTAGTGCCGGTTTAATGTTCTCTAACAACTTAGGATTGCTAATCATATGGTGAGAAGCTCTTGAGTCTAACACTAATGAATTTGAATCATGAGAGTTAGAGGTTAAGAGAGAGATACCGCCGGGATGTAACTTGGATGCAATGGATTGAAGGAGGCTCTCGAGGTCAGATTTGTTCATGACAATGGTCTCTTGCGCTTGAGAAGTGGAGGCACCACCCTGGTTGTGTGTGACTGCTTGCATTGCCTTCTCTTGCTGTCCATATTGCACAATTGCCCTTTCTTCATTTTCTGACCCGCCATCGCCTCCATTAGCCACGTTTGCCTTTGGCTTGTAGTTCTTGAACTTCTCTGGTTTTAGATGAGGATGTAGCAACCAGCATTTGTCTTTTAGGTGGCCCTTCTTCTTACAATGGTCACAAAACCATGTCTTCTTATCCTCTTGTCTAACCACTCCCACTTTGTTGGCCGTAGGTAGACTTACACCTTTAGCACCGAATAGCATTTGGGAGCTGTACTCCTTTTGAATCTTGGCACACACTTGCTCTAAGGTAGGTGTCTTCTCGTCTCTTAGGATGTGTTGGATCACATCCGTGTAGCTCGAGTTGAGTGAAAGCAATAGACCAAAGACGCGATCTTGTTCTCTTCGTTCCCTTAACACCTTAGCATCGGTGGTAAACGGCCTTAGCATCTCTAACTCAGCCACGAGAGACCTATACTTCCCAAAGTGTGTATTAAAGTCACTCTCTTCTTGGTTCAGACCTCCGAGAGCCTTCTTAATTCCATAGACTCGAGTCAAGTTAGTTTCATTTCCAAATACACTCGTGAGAGTTTCCCAAAGCTCTTTAGCCGTCTCACAATATGAGTAACCTTCGAGAATCGAGGCATCTAGTGAGCAATGAAGAGCGTTGAGTACATTGAGATCATATTGTTTCCAAGTCTCTTCAACCAAGCTCTCATCAGTAGCCTTTAGCTCTTCATAGGTGGACTCGATGTGTTTTGTGAGTTTCCTTCCTCCTAACACATTTAGAGTAGTCCGCTTCCACAATAGAAAGTTATTCCCATTCAGAGTTACCAAAAACTTCAAGTCTTTGAAGGTATCATTCATCTTGCCATCATAGACCGTGACTGACATTGTATCCTTCTAAGCTTTCAGAGTTTAAACGAAATTTGTAACCTTTTGCCGTTTAGAATCCAAGAAAAACCAACGCACCACAAGAATAAAGATCGAAGCTTGAACCGTTCACAACCCAAACACTACCTATAACTTCACACCACCAAGATAAAGCTCTAACCTTTAAGCGATAAACTGACCAAACTGAGCTGAACCGCCTTCGAAACCTCTCCAAAGATGCCTTAGAACCTTCGTCAGAACACCACTAAAAACCCCAAGAGTATCACCGTGATGATGTTTTCCAAGAAAGAATCCGAACAAGAACCTTCAAAGTTGCAAGCTTTTCGACTTTCGAGAACAAACCAGAAATAAAGAGTAACCTTGCGAGAAAAAGAAACACAAACCGAGAGAAAGGCTAAAGATTTAGAAGAAGAAGATTGAAGATTTAAGAATCTACTCTGATACCATGTAAAGATTAGAGATTTAGGAAGGAAAGATTGAGTAATCCATGTTTGAGAGAGAAAGAGAGAATTGCATAGATTGAGAAAAAAGTGTTCATAACATTACAATGGTGGCTACAACCTTTATATATAAAAGAGATTAGGTTAAAATGACATAGAGGAGACTGGCAGGTCTTAGCCAGGCGGGTGTCTCAGACAGGCGGGTTTATACTTGTCCCTACCAGTTTGGATCTCTTTGCCTAGCCAGGCGGGTGTTTCAGACTGGCGGTTTCTCAATATAAGAAACTTGTGTTAAATATCTAACTATTGATTTAGTTAGTATTAAACACCTTCTTGATTAACAATGTGATCCTCGAATACATCGACCAAACTTGGAATAACAATCCAATTCTACCTCAAGATCCCTACGAGAAAGCCATGGCTCGATTCTGGGCCAAGTTCGTCGATGAACAGGTACGCTAACTTATTAAATTGATGTATAATATTGATTGCATATTATATGATAAACACTTGAGACTTATTAGAAGTTCAATACCTTTCAAGCATTTATATCAGGATTATATGTAGAGTAAAGTAAATTTTTTTAGATTGATATAATAACTTGCAGATCCTACCAGTTGGGTTCATGCCCCTAGTAAAAGCAGAGAAGGGAATAGATGTTGCTATTGAAGAGATTCGAGAAATGCTTATGTTTCTTGAGAAGGAAGTCACTGGAAAAGATTTCTTTGGCAGAAAGACGATCGGATTCTTGGACATGGTTGCAGGAAGTATATTGATCCCATTTTGTCTGACTCGGGCTTGGGAATGTATGGGAATCGATATGACTCCAGAGGATACGTTTCCAGAATTAAACAGATGGATCAAAAAGTTGAATGAAGTTGAGATCGTAAGGGAATGTATACCGCCAAAAGATAAACATATTGAGCGTATGAACAAAATTGTAGAGAGAGCAAAGTCTACCTAAATTAATGACAACATCATAACTCTGTGTTCTGAAATAATGACTATGTGCTTGTATCGTTTTCTTATTGAAAATTTTGAGATTAAGACGGAATGTAGCTGCATTGGTAGTGGAAATCAATGGGTGCAAAGTGAAATCTTGAAAGCTATCTATTATAACTCTAATAACAAATTTTGATTTCTAGTGTATGGAAAATAAATTGCAAAGATGGTAGATTGATAAGTTCGATAGGATGAGTTAATTTGTTTCATGGTGAGTGGTATTGATTACATGAAGTTTGAAAAGAACATCACTCTTTGGCTGATATAAAGACATTAACGTATGGTTGGTTAATTAGTATTGGTTTATTGTGTGTAGTTGGTTAGTATTTCAGTTTAGTGCTATTCTGATTCTATTAGTCTAACCAATTTTGTATTAACATTGTTAACTCATTTTCTTCAAGAAATGAAACAACAAATATTTAACATATATATTTCTCCAAAACTAATACATCGGAAGTGAAAGATGAAAGACATGGTCAAAGATTCTTTATATAAAAAAAAGAAACATGGTCAAAGATAGACATAAATGTTGACTTTTGAAGATTTTAAATATTTTGAACTATATATCCTACCAAAAATATCCATGATGAACCCATGATGAAATGTTGAGGCGTGAGAATAAATGATGAACAAATTTGAAAGTGACGTCAGTGATGAACAACTACCTTCTAGATGTCCTTGGATGATACGCATGAATGATTGACATACATTGAACTTGTAGTTAAGTGTTCCTCACAACTCTAAGAAAAGTATGATAACTATTGGAGTAAATGGCCTAAAAAGGACTTTTTCGTTTCCTTTTCCTTTTTGCCTTTATAATCAAACATAATTTACATGAGAGTATAAAGAGTAGATGAGTTACATAAAAAAATAAAAATAAAAAGAGGGAAAGAGATTGATTCAATGGCCGAGAAAGAAGAGGGTGTGAAGCTTATAGGGTCTTGGGCAAGCCCATTCAGTCGTAGAGTTGAGATGGCTCTCAAACTCAAAGGCGTGCCATACGATTACTTGGACGAAGATTATTTGGTCGTCAAGAGCCCGTTGCTACTTCAACTCAACCCGGTTTACAAAAAAGTCCCTGTTTTGGTCCACAATGGTAAAATATTACCCGAGTCACAACTGATCCTTGAATACATCGACCAAACATGGACGAACAATCCAATTCTTCCTCAAGATCCTTACGAGAAAGCCATGGCTCGATTTTGGGCCAAATTCGTCGATGAACAAGTAATTCTAAAAACTAATTCTTTTATTAACTAATTGCATATGTAATTTCTAGAAATGATAAACACTTAGAACTACCGGTTACTATAAGTTCAATACCTTTTCAATAGTGAAACCAATATTCTCCCTAGCAGTATTAATATTTTTTTACTGAATCCCTACTCAAAAATTATAATTACAAATAACATTTTAGCTGAATAACTCGTATAGTAATTTAAAGTTGCTAAAAATGTTTTTACGAGTTATGCTTAACATGTGTATAATATGGTAACACTGTATATCTATGCACAATAATTCTAACTAATAACTATATATCTTTGTCATGAAACGTTTGCTAAATATCGCTACCGTGTAGGTCACATTGATAGGGCTCAGGTCTCTGGTGAAATCAGAGAAGAGAATTGACGTTGCAATCGAGGAAGTTCGAGAACTTATTATGTTGCTTGAGAATCAAATCACGGAAAAAAAATTCTTCGGCGGAGAGACGATAGGATTCTTGGACATGGTTGTGGGAAGTATGATCCCGTTTTGTCTAGCTCGGGGTTGGGAAGGTATGGGAATTGATATGATTCCAGAGGAAAAGTTTCCAGAACTAAACAGATGGATCAAGAATTTGAAAGAAATTGAGATCGTAAAAGAATGTATTCCTGATAGAGAGAAACATATTGAGCACATGATGAAAATTGTAGGACGAATCAAAGCGGCCTAAAAGACAACATGATACTCTTTGATCCAGTGATGTTAAGTTGTTAACTACATTTGTATTGTCTTGTTATTTAAAAGTTTTATGAACAATCTACTAAATAAAGATGAGTGATACATGTATCCGCAGTGGTAGTATAATTTAGTTTGGAGTACCTAGTTCTATCTTAATTAATTATTTTTTTTTTATTTTTTTTTAACCTAATGTTAAATATATTCAAAAAAAAAATAAACGTTTTTACAAATGACTGCAAATTTTTTAAAAACAACTATTTGGTGATTTTATCCCTAATGTTGTCTTGATGCAAACCACATTTGAAGTCCGCCTGCGTATCCTTCATCTCCTCCTCTCCTTATTGTGCTCAAACGCTTTCTAAGGGATCTTGTCTATCAACTTCACTATCTTCTCTGTCGGTGAAGGTTGTTCACCATGCCTCCTATCATTTCTTTCTCGCCAAATGGAGTGGATGGTGTTCTGAAACACATACCTGACTATGAAACCCTTCGTTTTGTCAAGGTCCTTCTTCGCAAGCATGGTCATGATTTCCAGCCATTTTTCGGTGAAGTTGTTCAATAGAAGTCCACTGACCAGCTCCTTCCACACCGTTCTCGAGTAAGGGCAGTTAAAGAACATATGGTCTTTTGTTTCTCTAGAATCTTTGCAGAAGACGCAGCTCGCATCCACATTCTGATTCCATTTGATCATTCTATCCCCTGTAGCGATTCTGTTTTTCGCGACCAACCATGTGAAGAAAGCATATTTTGGACTAGCATTCGAAAACCATATATCTTGGTACCCTTGCATCAAAGGTTTAGATATTCGGATTTGTGACCATGTCTCCCTCGATACAAATTTCTTGCGGTAGCAATCATTTTAATTAATTATTGATATATGATCATATTTTATCATAACATATTTTGTTCTATAATTTAGATGATGAACTGATGACCAATTAGTATTATTAGGACAAAAAAAAACAGCTTGAATTGTTGTTTTTTTTTTTGTTGTCGTCTAAATTTATTATTTATTGCAAATTATGAGAACTGTTACATAGACGATTCTACAACGGACAATTCCTTCCGACCCTTATTAGATTCATGACAGATGACACCTCCTTCACCTCCTTCTTCATGCTCTTGATGGACACTTCTATTTCTGCGTAGAATCCTGGCGAACGGCTATAATTGTACATCGCTGGAGATCTCCTGCACACTTGCTTCCAATAATCTGCAAATTTATTAATAAATCGCATTATCTGGGACTCGAACCCAAGACCTCTGGGTGTAGAAGCATTAATTAACCATTGGTCAATCAATGGGTCAATGGTGCTTCCACGCTTGAATTATTGTTTAAAAATTATATTATTTTATAAGATTAAATTACCAAATTTCCTTAATTAGGTAAAGAAACAGAGTTCAATAAAAATGACAGGAAATATAAAGAAACTTGCTTAAGGAACAAAAAATGGTATTTGCAGGAATAGTAAGTAAATTTAATAAAAATTAATTTGGGATACTAGAAACGTATATCTAAGATAGAAAAAGTATCTCCTACCAAAAAAAAGATAGAAAAAGTATCAACAAAAAAGGAGAAACTGTTGAATGTTGAATATTATTTTTAAAGTTGGTATGTTTGAGGAAATTGAAAAGATAGAATATACTATTTGAAATTATAGGGAGATGATATAATGTGTTCACGGTTCATTGGATACTTAACAATGAATGAACATCAAGAGAAATCAAAATGGACCTTTTCTTCTTGCCACGTCGTTTTCATTTACTTTTCAAGCACGAGAACGGAACCACGAAAACTAGTCAAAAAGAAGGCGTTAAAGCCTAGAGAACAAAACCATATATCTATCTTCATGAATCGATCAAACACTCACGAGAACAAAACCACATAAACTAGTCAAATTAAGGAACAATAGAGGAGTTACATTAAAAAAAAGTTAGAGGTCCAATGGCGGAGAAAGAAGAGGATGTGAAACTTCTAGGTTTTTGGGCAAGCCCTTTTAGTCGTAGAGTCGAGATGGCTCTCAAGCTCAAAGGAGTGCCTTACGAGTACTTGGAGCAAGATATAGTAAACAAGAGCCCTTTGCTTCTCCAACTAAATCCAGTTTACAAGAAGGTTCCAGTTCTTGTCCACAAAGGTAAAGTATTATCCGAGTCACATGTGGTCCTCGAATACATCGACCAAATATGGAAAAACAATCCAATTCTTCCTCAAGATCCTTACGAGAAAGCCATGGCTCTATTCTGGGCCAAGTTCGTTGATGAACAGGTAACTCTATACAAATACCTTTATCAACTAATTGCATAGGTGATTTTTAAAAATAATTATCACTTAGAACAACCGATTACTAGAATTTCAATACATTTTGAATAGTAAAATCAAGATTCTGATTCTGATTGATTGGTAGGCTAGGAAAGGCAGAATTGTAAAATGAATCTGATTCCATAAGAATGTCTATGCAAAACAAAATTTAATTGCGGTAATTTTCTGCTGAAATGGTTACTATCTTGTAGGTTGGACCAGTAGCCTTTAGGTATGTGGCAAAAGCAGAGAAGGGAATAGAGGTTGCAATCAAGGAGGCTCAAGAACTCTTTATGTTTCTTGAGAAGGAAGTCACTGGAAAAGATTTCTTCGGTGGCGAAACAATTGGATTCTTGGACTTGGTCGCAGGAAGTATGATCCCGTTTTGTCTTGCTCGAGGTTGGGAAGGTATGGGAATTGATATGATACCAGAGGAAAAGTTTCCAGAACTAAACCGATGGATCAAGAATTTGAAAGAAATTGAGATCGTGCGAGAATGTATTCCTCCTAGAGAGAAACAAATTGAGCACATGAAGAAAGTTGTAGAAAGAATCAAACCGGCCTAAGAGACAACAATCATACTTTTCAATCGACAGATCTTAACTATATGTTTGTATAATCTCGTTTTATAAAAGTTGTATGAACAAGTAGTGTTTTTACAAAATTCTAAATATAAGTTAATTATGATAAACATTTTTAATGTAGTAGTATTCAAACTAATTCAACCAATAAAAAAATATTATTGAAACTACAATTTACCTTTTGTGCATAATATTATTAATTCTAACTAATTCAACCAATAATAAAATATATTGTAAAATAATAAAATTAATATATTGTAAAATATAATTTTTCAAAAATATGAAAGATATTTAATTTTTACATAGAAAATTGAAACAACACTTATTGTAATAAAAATTTCTTTAAACTTCAAATAAATTAAAACAGAGTATAATATAGTCAAACTATATGTCTTAATAAAACAACAAACTATGATTAATGTGAACATATGTATTTTCGACACGCAAAAAGTTGTCTAAACAATAGAAACTAACGAACGTGTGGGTCTATTTGTTGCGGCACAATATAATAAGGGTGCATTGGCGCAGAGACAAAAACATAACGTCAAATTGGGTAATCGACAAAAGACAGTTTTGTTCCATACAAACAAAAATCATACATTATCAATGACCTTAAACTTCAAAATAATAACGAGAAAGCCTATTGATTTTTTTTACATACGCGTGTGATGGCGTTTTGACTTGTAGGAGAGAGAAAGAACGAACTGACAAACATTAAATGTTCAGCACGTGAACTGATGCTTACCAAACTAACACTAATTGTTGTTTTTTCGAATTTGAGCAATTTTAACACGCTACAAACATATATTACACCATTTTAACATTTGTACGCATGGGATTGTGTGGCCAAGTCTCGTCGATGTATTCAAGAATCACATGAGACTCGAGAATGGTTTTACCATTGTCAACAAAAAGTCAATATAGTAATTTTGATATTATTTTGTTCGTCTGCATTGAACCGTCACCATTTGGAGTCTAAATTTACATTTAATATCTGAGTGCTGAAGAATAAAAAAAATTTGAGGGTAATAGAAAGGAAAAGAATTGAGGCGAAATTTATTTTTCAGAAAAAAACCTAGCAGAAACGAGGGTAAATCTTTATTAAATGAAGAAAAAATAAGACAGAAAGAAAGAGAGAAGAGAAGAAGCGAAGCTTTTGGGGGATATGGGCAAGCCCTTTTAGCCGGCGAATCGAGATGGCTCTCAAACAAGAAAGAGGCATATTTCAATCCTAACAAGTTGCAAAGTGCATTTTTATACCTCAACAAAGATATAGTACATTTTTTGACTTCAACTCTAAAAAAATTCAAATAAACTATCCAAATTATTATATTTGAGCGTAAAATTACATTGACTTAAACAAAATTAGTCAACCGTTTGTTTTTGCTTACTTAAACAACATGATAGTCACGAAGTGTAACGTTGTTTTGGTCATTTGAGTCAATAAACTTAAAACGATGACAACGAAATGTCATTTTGTCTATATCAGTGTTATTTTGTCTTAGCCAAACAGCGTCGTTTTATTGAATATATGAATTCAAATGACCAAAACAACGTCGTTCGGTTGAGTTTATTTATTCAAATGACTAAAACGACGTTATTTGGTTCAGATAAAATGACATCGTCACTATCGTGTTGGTTAAATGAGTGAAAACAACGAGTTGACTAATTTTGTTTAAGTCAATGTAGTTTTACGCTTAGGTTTAATAGTTGGGTAGTTTTTTTGATTTTTTTTAGATTTAAGGTTGAAAAATGCACTGTATTTTTGTTGAGATATAAAAACGCATTTTGCAATTTGTTCAGGTTGAATTACGCCCTTTTCCCGCTCTCAAACTCAAAGGCATAAATTACGATTACGTGGAAGAAAAGTTTGAGAGCAAAAGCTCTTTGCTTCTTGCTCTAAACCCTATTCACAAGAAGGTCCCTGTTCTTGTTCACAATGGTAAAACCATTCTCGAGTCTCATGTGATTCTTGAATACATCGACGAGACTTGGCCACACAATCCCATTCTCCCTCAAGATCCTTACAAAAGATCCAAAGCTCGATTCTTTGCTAAACTCGTCGATGAACATGTATGTATACACACTCTCTTCACTAACTCCAATTCAGTAATTGAATTGATTCAAGATTAGCCAATATTAAGATTGCACGTCAAATAAAAAACAATTTTTTTTGTTTGTGTTCACGAGATTTCAAAGAAAGCTCAATACTATTTGTTCAGCTGAAGCCAAAAAATGTAAAGTTTTTTTTTATTAGAATTAGCAACTAAAACTATTGTTATCTCTCTGACATTGCAGATTACGAATGTGGGTTTTGTATCAATGGCAAAAGCGGATGAGAAAGGAAGACAAGTTTTGGTCGAGCAGATAAGAGAACTAATTATGTATCTCGAGAAAGAACTTATCGAAAAAGATTACTTCGGCGGTAAGAGTGTTGGATTCTTGGACTTTTTGGCCGGAAGTTTGATTCCGTTTTGTTGGGAAGGCAGAGGTTTGCAAGTGATTACAGAAGAGAAGTTTCCAGAGTATAACAAATGGGTGAAGAATTTGGAGAAGGTTGAGATTGTAAAAGATTGTATTCCACCAAGAGAGAAACCTGTTGAACACATGAACTATATGGCAAAGAGAATTAGATCTTCTCTTTGATCAAAAAAAAAAAAAAAAGAGAATTAGATCTTCTTAATTAAGAAGAAAAATGATCTTAGTCTTTGATCCAATGTTGTAATTTAGTCTTTGATCGTCACATGTGGTTGAGAGGATAAATAAAATTTCTGATTAAATGAATTTAACTTATAAAAACTACTCCTACTTTTTATTGTTATGTGGTATAAGAGGATCAAGATTGATTACCATCATTTGTCAAGTCATCTGGATTTTCAGACCTTTCTGGTATGATATAATAAACATGAAAAGACTTTGGTCACATGGTCGGTCCTATCAATTTAGAAGGGTAAAGTCTTGATTTCAAATGGTGACGTGTGGAACAATTGCGGGGAAAAATACGGTGTAGTTATAATAGTAACAAAAATATATTCATACACATATATATTTATACATTTTTGTTACTTTTGAAACTACCTCGCAGACCATTCATCAAATAGAGAAACAAATTGAGCACATGAGAAAGTTGCAGAGCGAATCAAATCGGCCCAAGAGACAACAAGCATACTCTTCGATCGAGAGAGGTACTATATGTTGTATAACCTCGCTATCTAAAAGTTGTATGAACAATTAATATTTTTACTAAAATTGTAATATCAATTAATTATTATATTTTTTTACTGATAGTACTGTCCGATTTCCTACGAATCTAAAAAAGTAGTTTGGAATTTGGTTCACAATCCTCGAGTTTTCATATGAAAGAAAAAGATGGAAAAAGTATAAATATGGTCAAACTATCCATCTCCATAACACCACAAAATATCTGTCGTCAATGTGAACATTTCTATTTCGACACGCAAAAAAATTGTTTAAACATTTGAAATTACCACAAACATTTGTTGTGGCATAATATTAGGGGTGATTAGTGGAGACTTTAGGAGATTAAACTTTTTTAAAAAGTCTTTAAAGTTTGATTTTTACCAATTACACTTTAATATTTAATAGTCTTAAAAGTTTCCTATTTTTTTTTCACAGCCCACATTTTGTTTTATTTTTTCTTGTCCACTTTTTTTTTAAAGTCAACAATTTTAGAACTTTTATTTTTTCAAAGTTAAAATCTTATAACTTTTTGCTAAGCATTTAATTTCTTTCTAAGAATCTAAAAGTAATAGTGCAAACCAGTCACCCCCAATATATATTAGTATGATTTTAGTATCATGAGGTAGGTACATGCATGGCCCTGTATACAAACAAGTATACCAAGCCTATGGTTGCAGTCTGTAAATATAACAATATATATTTTTGGCTGACAATTTTCTGGAAGTTTACCTAGCGGAATTGGCTTTACCTTTGTAAAAGTGTAAAAGTGGGTGTTTTGAATCCTTCAATCTACATTCTACCCTTTTTTTTCCTTTTAGTCTCAATAATATAGCCAAAAGAAAAAAATTCTAACTTATGGCCTATTAATTTTTAGGACCAGCTCTGATGAGATGAGTAGTTTTCAGCACCGACACTTTATTGTTGCTGGGGCAACAAACCACTAGACGTTACATGGTGAGGAAAATCAGCAAAACATTTCCTTGATGAAGAAAATGTTTTAATATATACTAGATCCGGACCCGTACATACGTGCGGGATTTTGTTTGTATTTGAATTTTTTGATGTATATAGCATTTAAGGCTGGATACCTGTTACATATATTCAATCCATTTTCCAACTCATAGTCGTCTCGAAAAAAGGGTAATCGTGATCTTAGGGTCGGGTAAAAGATATTGTAATTCTATTATTCTTGGCCCGTGGGTAAGAATCGAGTATCGGGTATTTATTTTTAATACTTATTCCGTTATTTGATATGTTTATCGCTTTACTACATGACCGGTAAATGTTTTATTAGTGTTTTATAATATTACTAAAAAATTTATAAATATATTTTATTGTAAAAAATATAGCCTAAGTCTGTAATTTTATACTTTTGGAAATATACTATAGTTTTATGAGTTTTTTTTCTTTTTATAATTTTAATGTATATTTATGTTGGGCCTGTTTTTCATATTGGCCCAAAAGCATTTTTCTTGTTAAATGACTAACGTCACGTTTCTTCTCCCTGTAGCTCCTCTTCTTCTCATCGAACACTTTTTTTTTCTTCTTCTTGCTTAATCAATGGTATTCTCCATCTTCTTCTTCACATTCTCTTCACCTTCACTTTTTGGGCTTTTCGTTTGAGAGATAAAGACTTTCTAGACGTTTTTTCTTCTCTTATGCAGTACTAAGCAGAAGATCAATTTACAACAGACACCAAAAAAAAAAAAATTGGTACTGCAATTCGTTCTCTTTCACAAAACACACAAATCATATTTTTTTTTTTAATTCTTTCATTCTTAGGGTTCTTTCGATTAATAGAGTAAATCATTTGCTTACTCACCTATCGCGAGGAAGACAATGCGGTTTCAGAACTGCGAGTTAGAGTGGAAGATGATGTAGTTCAAAAATTAGGCCATTATATTAAACTCAGTGTGGAGTGTGGACTTCGAAGTATTTCTCAAGAAGCAGATCATGAAGAGGAAGAAGATTCATTATCACCGTCTTCTTCTTCTTCTTGTGGACGGGATAGATCTGTGTGGTTATGTTCAAGCTTGGTCTTTTCTTCGCGATTCTAACTGCTTTGGGTCTCGCTGGTTACAAATGGCTCGCTCCTTCAATCATGGATAAGGTTTAAAATTTCCTCCTTCAAAGATAATTCAATGCATGTTCCATTACAATGATACCTTGTTCCTAAAATCCAGTGTTGAATTTGTTCTGTTCTTTAGAAATTTTAGATCTTTATCAATTGGGTTTAATTAGGATTTCATCAATTAATCATCACTCTTGAATAAGATCTTAAGTACTGACCACAAGTCTGTATGAATTCGTCTAGTGTAGAAAAAAGTTCATTTGTAAGATTGGTTCATGTTTCATGTGAATTTGTATATGCCATTACCTTCAGATTCGATTAGCCGAAATAAAGTTTGCAGTTACTGTCCTGTGGCTAATTTTTGATACCTATATAACCAGACCCTCTTAACATATCCAATCCATAACATTTTTGGCTCTGTAACAATTATGTTATTATCCATTTACCTTTGTTTGCAGGAGCTAAACCATCTCGTAAAATGGGATATCAGACACACCCATTAAATATATGCAAGCTCATGCCATTTTTGTCAAAATATGATGCTTTATTTTCCCTTGTCAAAATGGGATGATTCACGTTCATGGTGTTAAAATTTTCTTTCCATTTAGGAAATTTGATTTGACTCACCATTGTTTTCTTGTGATAGGGAAGAATGCTGCTTGATATTAATTTCCGTGAAGGAAGTCTAGAAACAAAGGTTAGTAAGTTTCTTTTACCACATATAGATGATACCTTAACCTTATTTTACTTCATAGAATCAAATATTGTCAATTTTCTTATATAGAATTTAAGTTCATTACTATAACTAAGGGGTATAAGTGAAACAAACCAAGGAAACTTCACATAACTTGAGTATCATGAATGACTTTCTAATATAACTAAGACAATGTAGTTGTTTCAATATCCTCAATCTACATATACATTTTTACAGGGAATTTTTGCAAAAAGTCTTTTGGATCCGGATTTTATCCGGGATTAACTATATTCGGATCTAGGATAAGGATTTTTAGGAATGTTGTCTTAAAACCACATTAATTCTTAATTAACACCTAAATTGGAAATATATATAATATATCTAAACTAACCATATTTGTTAATTACCTTAACTACTTCTAACAATAATTATTTAACTATTTATTTCTATATAGAAAGAATATGTGATTAAAATAAATATTTTGTAAAATATTGATTTGGGAAAAAATTGTTCTTACGAAAATAATTTGTTTTGTTATAAAAATTAATATTTGTTATTTGTAATTAAATTACATAAATAATAATAATAATTTGTCTACACCATCAAATGAAAATAGTTAGTTATTTAATTTTTTTTATTTAATATTACGTAATTTTAAAAAAATAAATTCAACAATATAATGTCAATGGGTTTAATTCTTAAGATTTGAAAATATTAAAAAAGATACTAACCAAAAATTATCTATCCTAATTTGTTTCTAACAATTTGGACACAAATATTTCAAATCTTTCGAAAATTTAATGTGATCACATTTGTTACTAAAATCTCGATTATATTCCTAAAATCTCGAGAAGATCTTCCTTTAAATCCGCAAATTATAATTTTTGAATTAAATAAACTAACAATACGAATATTCCTAATATATTCGAGTACTAATAATCCTTATTATAGTATATTCCTTATCTAAATACTAAATCTTTTATTTTTAATTCTAATCAAAATTTATGAAATCGGAAATCAATCATGATTTCTTAAACATCCTTAAATTTCGAAATAATCAACAATTCGAATATGCTGAAAAATCATAACGAAATATCTTTATTTACTTAAATGTTTTAGTAATCGTTATAGCAAAAAAATCAATTCCAGCGCTATTGGTTCTTTAAACTTTTTGATTTACATAGATATTTTGTATTCCATAATTAACTCATTAAAATCTTTGATTTAAATAACTACAATGTGAAAATTAGTATATGTAATAAATATAACATATAATATTTACGAGATTTTCATATACTTGATCCCCAACCCAAATTGGCGAATATATTATTTCTCATAAAATATCTTTAAAAGATTTTTTTGTTTCGTTTAGATATTATTCAACAAACTTCCTAAAACAAATGGAAATATCTTTAATTAGCTTTCCTCATTCATAAATCCCACCATGCATATAGACGTTATTCAGTTGATAATACAAAATCGAATATATTAGGAATCAAATATATAATTTTCGAATATTTGCAAAATTGTTTTAATTTGTAGGTCAAACTTCTCGAGTACTTTTCATTCATCTATATAAAGAAGATCTTTTCAACCATTGATCCACAATACTAAACGTTTTCGTAATAGAGATTTATATGGTTCTTTTAAACAATGTTCTTAGTACATTTTATATTTCACGTTTGTTTTCTTTTAAAAAATTAATTGTCACCTACTTTTCTTATGTTGCAGCTTTCGATTTTAAGATCTTGGAAACTATGGACATCATCATCTCCGTCTCCAAAGAAACTATCAAATAAGGTATGCATTAAAAGGTTAGTTAGTCCTTCTTCTTATCTTCAGATACAAATTTTTTAATGTCCAGTATTTTTTTACATTTTCAGAATTTCATGTTTCCTCATAATGATTGTAAATGATTTTCTTTTATAGGCTAACATAACAAGTCCATTCTATTAATTCATTTTCTTTAACGAAAAAAGGAAACGAATTTGTTAATAAAATAAAGTTCTTATTCTTAATTTTTATTATTCTAATGTTATGTATTTTAATTGTTTTTATGATATATACTTTTACAAAAACCTGTGGATCCGTGTTTTGGTTGGGAAGTGTAATTTTTCTAATCTTTTAAAACCTTTTATAACAATTACATGTTTTATATGGTTAAAAATCACATCATATATATTTTATTTTCTTATCCAATGTATTTCATGTTTAATGTTTTCTAATACTTTTTTTA